TCTTATGTAGTTAATCAAGCTTGTTAACAAATGCATCAACCAACTGAACAACACTTTTAACTTATTAAACGCATTTTGCGATATCTACAAGGGGCTACATTTCAGCTTTTCTATCACGAGAGGGGATATTCATCTCAAAACTTATTCTGATTTTGATTGGGCTGCAAATCAACAAGATCATCGAACTATAACAAGCTACTGCAGCTTCCTCAACAACATTCTTATCTCTTGGAAAGTCTAGAAACAATTGACAGTGGTTAGGTCCTCTACTGAAGCAGAATAATGGGCCTTGCTGGTGTGGTAACTAAAACAATTTGGTGTCTCAATGCAAAATTCCAATCTCATCTATTGTGACAGCATATCCACTCTTGCTATTTCTACAAACCCTATCTGTTGTGAGATATGTACTTCCTGACATAGAAATGAGACGCAAAGAATACAAGCAAACACAGATCGTTTGCGTGGTTTGATCCAACTGGATCTACGTCCACGGGAGGGAATCAATCAAATAGTTCACTAAGGCAAAAGAAATGGAGAATACATAGCTTATACATAGAGATGAGTCCTCATCTTTCTTCTATGGCCTCCCTCTCAAGCGACATCTTGATACAAGGCCTCAAGATGCTCTCCTCCTCTCTATCTCTCTAGCTATTCTCTCCTCCTTTGTGGTAGCTTAAGATCTCTTCCCTTGCTCTCCTAAGCCTCACACATTCTCTATTTATAGAAGCAAGAGAGTGGTAGGTGGGAGCTAGGTGAGCGGTAGGTGAGCGGTAGGTGAGATGTGGTAGGTGAGCGGTACCACATTACAAAAGTGTCTTTTTACCTTAGTTCATTAATTGGGGGTCAAAATAACAATTCTCCACCTTGACCCTCAATTGAGAAGCTTCGAAGTAAAGATTCCCTCCACCTGGCCCGTGAGGGGCTCTCAGCCCTTGTTTGAGTCTGCTAAGTCCAAACAGTACATAGACTTAGCAATCACGGTTCTTCTGATAAGGGAGTACAACCCATTTTTCCTAACTCCTTGTATGACGACACGAGGGTCTTTGGTTACTCTGATGCAGTCATTCTCTGTCTGGAACGAGCATCCGCTTCACTCCAGCGTATCTAAAGAAATCAGATTTCTTTTGAGCTCTGGTACGTACCTGACATTTTTCAGTACTCGTTCAACTCCATCAAACATCCTTATCCTGATTGATCCACTTCCAACAACCCTGTGAGCTTTATTGTCTCCTAGTAGAACAGACTCATCATTTTCCTATTGCAGTGTCTCGAACCAGTCTTTGTGAGGACACATGTGGAAAGAACACCCTGAGTCGAGGATCTACTCTTTACTGGATTCAGATTCTGTGATCACTAGGGCCTCAGCAGAATCGTAGTCATCAGAGGCTATGCTTACTTCTCCTGATTTTTCTGGCTCTTCTTGATACTTATTCTTCCTGTCTGGGCAGTTCCTCTTGAAATGACCGTCTTTGTGACAATGATACCACTTGAAAGATCCCCTTGATGACTAATTCCCTCCATCCTTGTTTAACCTTGATCTGTACTGATCATTTCTTGAATATTTCTTGTCCAATCTTCCTCTAACAATAAGACTGTCTCCGCTGACTTCCTTATCCCTATCATGCTTCCTCTGAAGTTCTTTGGCTCTAATCAGAGATTGAACCTCCTTCAGAGTAATAGTCTGCACCCTTCCATAGAGCATCGCATCCTTGAAATGCTCGTAGCTCTTAGGAATAGAGTTTAGCAACAGTAGCGCCTTGTCCTCATCGTCCATCTTGATGT